GTTATTATTATTATTATTATTACTATTGCTGTTATTATCATCATTGTTATTGTTATTATCATTGTTATTATTAGTATCATTATTATTACTATTATCATTGTCATCATCACCATTATTATCATTATTATCATTGCTTTTATTATTATTATTATCATTATCATTATTATTATTATTATTATTATTATTATTATTATTATTATTATTATTATTATTATTATTATTATTATTATTATTATTATTATCATTATTATTATTATTGTTATTATTATTATCATTATTATTATTATTATTATTATTATTGTTACTATTATTATTATTATTATTATAATTGTCATTGTTATTATTATTATTATTATTATTATTATTATTATTATTATTATTATTATTATAATTATTATTATCATTACTATTATTACTATTATTATTATAGTTGTTGTTATTGTTGTTCTTATTACCATTATTTTCATTATTATCATTATAATAATAATGATAATGAGAATAATTAGTAGTAGTACAAAAAAAAGACCAAAAATGGGGAACAAAATTCAAAAATAGAAAAAAAACCTAACAAATAAAAGAAGACGAACGAAAAAAAAAAAACACACACACATCTAAATACGTAAAGAAGAACAACTACAATGTCGAAGAACAGAACTGAACAAGAGAACGTTCGGCCGAAGGAGGAATCTCAGCCAAAAAGAACGTAATTTAAGATCCTTTCGCAGCGCCCTTTGCCCTCGAGTTCATTATCCATCCATCCATCACCTTAATTGGAAAGGAGAGCGATATAATGGTAGATAGATGGGCGGATAAATGGTAGATAGATAAAAGGAAGAGAAGGGGGATGGGGGAAGGGAAGGAGAGAGAGAGAAAAAAATGTATACATACATCCACACATACATCTACACCCACACATAATCTCGAAAACCCCAACCTATCACGCATCCCCCTCCCCCCTTTCACCCCCCCTCCTTCCTCGCTCTGCCCTTCCTCCCTCGTTTATCTCCCCCGCGCCAAACCTCCCCCCCCCCCTCCCCTGGTCGGAGCTGAGAGGGGGCCGCGTTCCATTCCCGCCGGACACTGTCGGTTACGGGCTGGCTACGAGCGGCTCAAGCGAATCCGGACGCCCATTTGCCCTCAAGCCAGGCGGGAGATTTCTCTGTGTCTCCGTCGCTTGGTCTCTTTCCCTTTCTCTCTCTGTCCTGTTGGTCTTTCGGTTCCCTTGTACTGTTTATTTACTGTCTCTTCCTCGCTCGTTCTCTTTTTCCTTTCTCTCTTTGTCTCATTCTTCTTGCGGTTCTCTTGTATTGTTTTTTTCCTTTCTCTTTCTCGCCCGTACTTTGTTCTTCCAATTTTCTTGCATTATTATTTTCTTTCCATCCGTCGCTTGCTCTCCTCCACATATCCTCTCTATCGTCTTTTCCCTTCTCTCGCTGTCTTATTCTTTCTCTCTACTTCTTTTTAACTCCATCGTTTATTTTATTCTCTCTCATTCTTTCGCTCAAGATCCCTTTTCTTTCCTCCTTCTCTGCCCCTCTTTCCTCCTATATCTCTCTTTTCTCCATCACTCTTCTTATTTTCTTTCTCAAGATCTCTTTACTTTCCTCCTTCTATCCTGGTTCTCTTTCTCTTTCTTCTCTTATCCGTGTTTTCGTTCTCATGCCCTCTCTCTTTCTCTATTCTTTTCTTTCTCCAGTTCTCTCTGTTCTTCATAATACGCGAAGATGCGAGCTTTCCTCTGAGAAAAATATATCGAGTCTTCCATTAAGGAATCAAAGAAACAGACTGATAAAAGTGAGAAACTAAAAGGGTGAAAGAGAACGAATAAAAAGGAAAATAAAATTATTACTAAAGTTTTTTCAAGGACATTCAAGTATCCAGTAACAACAAATAAAAAGGAGACGTAATGGAAAAGAAGGAAAATGAAAAAAGGTAAATCGATGATGCACACAGGAATACATACGTGTATATGCATACATATATACACATATTACACACACACACACACATATATATATATATATATATATATATATATATATATATATATATATATATATATATATATATATATATATATATATATATATATTATATACACATGCATATACATATATACATATGCATATACATTGCTGTTGCCGTTATGCAATTTATTTGTCCCTCACATTCTGTTGATTTCAAGTACCTATTCACCTATTGGTCTTCCTTATAAACAAATGTGAAATATTTTATATTTTACAAGTCATTTACTCACTGTACTGTCTGCTCTCAAATTATTTTGTGTGTGCGATATGTTCATATACTTTTGAAAGCTTTGACATCACACATTTCCCGGTGAATTTGGTAAATCGGCTATATGTGAATTGTGTATTAATCTAAGGATTGCTGTTACCCATTGTAGAAGTTGTATGTGGGAATTCTAAGTAGGATGATATGTATTCCCTCTTTGCTATGAATTCTTATCTAGATTTATGCAATTTATTCGTAAGCCTGTTCCCATAAGTCAAACTCAAAACAGAAAATGTGTCATATGATATGCTTCATTTTCATTCCTCTTCGGTACATATACCGAATAATAAATGTCACAATAACTTACTTTACCAGCTATGAGCATAGTGCTAATCGAACCAGATCTCCGGCTGTAATATGAATATTTAACCTGCCTTTTAAAAACTTTATTACAACTTTTTCTCTTGGGAAATTCAACGGTCTGGATGTACAGAATTTACCTACATGATTTATTTCTAATAGGATTACAGATTCCCTTATATCGATTGAAAATATCCATCTGCAGGGAGCTCTAAGAAACTTAATAAGTGAAAACCCGAATGAATAAATGATTTAAGATGACTATACAGTGCGTGTTATCTCCTCTTCTGATAGTAAGATTTTGGCCGTTTTCCTGACACTGGTAGTTCCCGTTCGATCTAACCTGCACAAGATCTTTTCCAAGAGGTCCTGCTACCTTTCCTTTCCCGGGAGGATTTTCGAATAGAAGTAACTAGATTCTGCACCTTCGCAAAGACAAGTGTTCCCTCTGTGCAGGAAAAAGGGAGAGGCAGGAGAGAATCCTCGATGTTGACAACATTTTTGCCATTTAACAGATTGCATCCTTCTGCCACCATTTCCCCCTCTCCTGCTGCTGCCACCAAAACAGAATGACAGCGCCTCCAGATCCCCCTCAGGAGCGACGCCGCAGTTGAGGAGAGACTGAGATGTCATTCTATTAGACATCTGCTCGTTTTCGGCAGTTATTCAAGGAAGAGGAGGACTTAGCAAAAACGGTGCAATAGAGAAGAACGTTGATTTTCCACCATAGATATCATATCTGTTTATCGTAAATAACCTACCTGAATTTATAGGACCCTCACCCCATCTCTGACTGTATTTAGAATAGCAATCAAACTTATTTACTTTACTTTCCCCAATCTCGGAAAATGAACCATTCAAAGATGACTGGTAAATATAGACTACACGTGCATCAAAGAAAAGTAATCAGCAAATGCTCAGGCGTTGTCTGCCAAAGTGAACGCGTTATGTGGGTGTAGAAGTCAGTCGGATGTCCCGGCCTGGAAATAATTTGGCGAGAGGTAGACAAGGTGACGTTTTGCTGCGCTAGATCCTTCAGCAACGGGATCCCAGCTTTGGTTGTTCTGTTCTGCTCATGTTGCAAAAAAAAAAAAAAAAAAAAAAATACAAGTGCAGAAGAAAATGAATAGGTAAATGGATAATTAAAGGGATCATTTGTTATTGCAAGGGAAACGAAATGTTTAAAATAAAAATCAGCTGTAAAAACAAACAAGCACATACTGAAACGCTAAATAATATAAAGTAGTAAGCAGCTTCAATTCTGACGTATCACCGTCCCTCACTGTGGAAATTGCAGTTTGGTTTAATCTTGCCATTGCTGTTTATCTCGTAAGCTGCTTAATCATGAAGACAATTAGATGCAGGATCTGTCTACACAGACGCTTCCAATTTCACACGTGTAACAGAAGGCAAATTCCGCACACACACGTTAAGTAAGCAAGCACACACACACACACACACACACACACACTTACATGACGCAAAGGCCCCGGACGACCCGCACAACAGCCTTATGTCGGAAATGCCGGCGCGGCTGCCACGCGCCAGGTCAGGCCAGGGCGGCGATAGAGCGGTCAGTCCGGCGTGACCTCTCTGAATCAAACTTCCTCGCTCCGGAGTGATAAAGCGACGACCACGGGGGGTGGGGGGGGCGAGGTGGGGAGGAAGAGGGTGGAGGAAGTCTTGGCGGGGGGGAGGGAGGTAGAGAGGGGAGGAGGGAAATGGAGTGGTTGGGGCGCCTGTGGGAAAAGAGAAGAGAGGCGGCGGGTGGAAATGTATATACAAGTGCGTGTGTTGCCTCTGCGCCTCAAAAACATGGGTTTTCACCTTTATATATATATATATATATATATATATATATATATATATATATATATATATACATATGTGTGTGTGTGTGTGTGACAGATATGTATATGTATATATATATATATATATATATATATATATATATATATATATATATATATATATACACACACACATAGCTATTTATCTATCTTTCTATATCTATCTGTTTATATATATGTATATATATGTGTGTGTGTGTGTGTGTGTGTGTGTGAATGTGTGTGTGTGTGTGTGTGATAATGCAAGTAATAAAATAGAAATGATAGTAACAGTGATAGTGATGAAATATTAATAATAATGATATTAATAATAATAGTAGTAGTAATGATAATAATAGTAATAGTAATAATAATAATAATAGTAATAGTAATAATAATAATAATACCACCAACAATAGTAGTATTAATAATACTATGGAAATAAAAAGGAGGATTACTATATTCATTATCGCCAACATAAGAATAATGTTAACAATAAATATATCGATAAGATGTGACAAGACAAGTGGGAAATTGTTTACCGTATATTGTAAATAATGCCACGATCGTATTTTATTT